ACAGCCATCAACATGTTGTTGGATGAATGAAATGATGCTCAGTTGTTGAAAACTATTGGCAAATTCAGAGCATACAACCATAAAAATCGGGTCTAAAATACATGGGAGCGGGTCCAAGGCTGTGTCCAAATTCAGGGGTCATGAGGTCAGATTTAAGACCAGTGACATCACAGCTTTGCAACAAAAACTGTCCAAATTAAAAGAGTGCTCAGAATGCGATCTTGAAATCCGTTCTTCTTTTCCCCGGTTCCTCCTCACCTCTAGAAATCCTGAGATGCACTGCGGGCTATCACACGCATGGATATGAAATACAGCAGCTTTTCATGTTTTTCAGTACCCCAATTTACTCATGTCATGAAGCTAGCTTATGGTGACATGAAATTGAGCTTTTAGACTTAAAAAAAGGCTTATAATACTATTCCAGCGTATCACTGCGTTTCAGCCTGACATACTAAATATGCCGGTGGAGCACAGAAATGAAATATTTAACAAAAGTAAACAAACTGAACTGATTTTGGTTCTGAAGACGAACAGAATCCTCCTCGATGTCCAAATCGGGTCGCGGGTCTTCTGAGTGAAACGGTCTAAAATATGTCTGAACCGCCGGTAGTGATATCCAGCTACAGGGGTTGGAGTTTGGTTGAACTTCTCTGGTAATCCAATGTCCGTTCTCATTGCCGTATCCCAGAGAAAAACAAGTCTGACCGACGAGCAGAGGCTTCAGAAGCTTCATATGACTGATGACACATTGTTCTGCTACAATGCTAACGCTAACACCGGAGTCGGGGTTGTTTACTATAGCTGAAGCTGCAGACCTCCTTGTGAAACGTCACCGGCTGCCCAAGAGTTTCTGTTTTTCCCGTGCCGGTCACAAACATCAGGTTTTCTTAAAATTCCAGCTTTTTCATCTGAGGTTTTATACTTCTTTACACATGCCATTCAAAGGAGTTTCTGAAAAAGCATCACCTGCTTTTGCCAGAAGCAAAAATTCCACCATTCTTAAACTGCAGTGGAGAACCACAACAACAACAACAACAACAAGAGACAAAAATCCTGCTGGTTGCCCTTTGAACAACCCTCGTTTGAATGCTAAGATGATGGCAGCGTGTTATTTCAGTTATTGATATTTTTGTTGTTCTGAGAAACAAAGTCCAGTCGGCCTAACGGAGGTGAAAATAGGGACACAAAACACCTCCAGGCAGTAAAACCTCTTTTCTGATATCTGCATGGGGAGCTTGTAATCACCGTCTTATCTCGGTTTTACTTTTCTTCTTAATCACAACAACAACAAAAAAACAATAAAATTCTGATGTACAGTTACAGAAAACTATTCTCCTAAAAATGTATCTGCTGCTGAAATGAAAACTGCAGGATTTAGTTTCTGTTTGGGAAACTTTTCAACCCAAATCACGCTAACCAACCTTGGCCAACACAAAACTCTCTTAACTTTACAAAAATTGAGACGACGTATGATGTGGAAGCAGCGAAAAGGCATTCACTTTCAGGGAAGAGGGAGATTTTCTGCATTTAACCACAATAAATAACTATCATTCCTCAGTTGAAAACGCTGGCATGACAAAAGTTAGATTTTAAACAAATGTTTTTTTGTTTTGACAAAAATTAGCTGCTACTTTTTTCTTATGTGGTAAAGTTTAAAATGTTACAAGAGACTTGTTTTCCTTTCAGTCCAGCAGTGTAAAACCATCCTTTCAAAACCAAAAGATTCTGTCCCAACATCACCACTGTGTCTGCTGCAGGTCTCTACTTTTATAATGACACTCCTAAAAATACTGATGGAACTGTTTCAACCCATTCTCTCACCTGGCTGCTGTAGTGTCTCAGCAGCAGATTCTTAAACTGTGTTTCTCCTTCACAATAAAACAGAAAAGACCAGACGACTGATCTGGTTTCCCTTCTGAACGGTTTGTGAATTTGCTCCTCTTTCCTGCTTTAGAAGCTCTTAGACAAGTTTATTTTTAATTAACTCATTCACTGCCAGCCGTTTCCTGATCGACAAAGCCCTTCGCTGCCAGTGTTTCTCACCGTTTTTATTGTTTTTTTTAAAGAGTCAGAACGTTGCGCGCTAGGATGATGTTGACGCCAAAACTACCAAAACAAAGAGGAGACTCACCTCTTAGAAGAATCTGCGCATTTTGAGCTTTATCCTTTCTTTCATAAATCGTTGTTGAATTGTAATCGGCAGCAGCTTTTCTGGTTCGCGCCTCAATTTTTTTTTACAGCAGCGGCCCAAAACGATCTCCTAACACAGACCTGGGCATTTTACGGCCCGCGGGCCACATACGGCCCTTTGGTTGACTTTGACTGGCCTGCGTAAGGTTAATTGGAAATTACAAAATAAATGTATTTTCTCATTTTACCTCATGCATGGGCTAAGGCTGCATTGCTTTTATTTTGAAGTTGTTTTTTACGTGCACAATGACGCAATACGTATAGCAACAAGTGCCCGCGGTCGACATGGTGAATGTAGCCCCAGAAATGTCCGCTCACGCAAAAAAAAAAATAAAAAAGAAAGAAAGATGCCAAATACAGGATTTTCAACAAAAATTGGACTGCTAAGTATTTTATTTTTACTGAAGTCGGAGGTAAAGCCGTGTGTTTGGTTTGCGGGGAGGAGAATGCCGTGTTTAAGGACTACAGTTTGAGTCGGCATTACGACAAGAAACACTCGGAAAAATACAAGAACTCGTCTGATGCTGAGAGGGCACGGACATCCGAAGCTTTGCTAGCAAAGTTGCAAAAGCAGCAAGGCTGTTTTACTAAGCTTCACACATCCAGGGATGCAGCAACCAGGACCAGCTTTGTGATATCCCACAAAACAGCTAAAAACAGCAAGCCGTTTTCAGAGGGAGAGTTTGTCAAAGAGTGCATGGTGGACTCCGCAGCACTAATATGCCCTGAAAAAAAAGGCGCATTTGAGCAAACCCCGCTGTCCAGGCGAACCGTGGGGAACCTGGAGCTTCAGCTGCAACGTGAAGTGGCAAGTTTAGACTTTTTCTCATTGGCCTTAGATGAGAGCTGTGATGTCCGGGGGATAACGGAGCTCACAGAGGAGCTGGCAGCAATACGGTCGATGAAAGGGACAACGACAGGGAGTGATCTTTTTACAGAGGTAAATGCGTGCACGGACACTCTGGGATTGAAATGGGAGAGACTGTCAGGTGTCACAACAGACAGTTGTCCAAATCTTACAGGGAAAAATGTCGGACTTTTGAAACACATGTAAGATAAAGTGACAGAAATCGATGCAGATCAAAAATTGGTGTTTTTGCATTGTATTATACACCAACATGTGTTGTGCAAGTCAGTGCTAAAAATCAACCATGTTACTGATGTTGTTACTAAAATAATAAACTTCATCAGGGCGCGGGCAATGAATCACAGACAGTTTGTGGCTCTTTTGGAGGACTCCACCCAGCTGTCAGATGGCTCAGCCTGGGGAAAGTGCTGAAGAGGGTTTGGGACTTGAAAGCAGAGATTCAGGATCTCTGCTGGATTTCTACTCTTCTCTTAAGGAGGAGAACTTTCCAAACCTGAGGAGACATGCTCAGAAGATGTTGGTTTTCTTCGGCTCTACCTACATTTGTGAACAAACATTTTCAATGATGAAGTTTACAAAATCCAGGTAAAGATCCTCTCTCACTGATGATCATTTGTCAGCTGTGCTTCGCATCTCCACCTCAGACATTCAACCTGACTTTGATGCACTCGTTAAAGCCCAGCAGAGACTAGATTTATCTCATTGAATAAGAAAAAAATCGCTTAAAAACACAAAATAAGGTGTTTGGACCACAAATGTAGGCAACTAGCAGTGAACTGGGACACTTTTTTTAAACCTCTTTCTCAAGATCACAGTTCAGTGATTTTATTTTACAGACAATGCTGTGTGTCTGTAGAATGCTAAGAACCTCTTTCCAACAATATTTGAAACTCAAAATGTGTTTTGGAGTGAATGTGACTAAAACTGTTAACTAATATAAGTCACAAATGTTTAACAAAAACCAAATGCGCACTTTGTTTACCATTGCCTTGGGAAATATGAATAAATCACATTTTTGTAAGCCAACCTCACTTTTTCCTTTTTGCTCATTTATAACACATAGTCTACTCTTACCAGCTTGAAAAAACGATGGTATTTACTGCTTTTTATAAAGAAATACCATTAATAGTATGCATAATTGACTTCAGCCTTTTGGCCTGGCCCTCCACAATATTTTCTATTTCTCATGTGGCCCCATGGAAAAAATAATTGCCCACCCCTGTCCTAACACATGGATTTTCAGCTTCCTGATCACGTGACGTGTTCGGATGAAGATCGGCTTTAGAGCTGAGATGTTTGTTCTCACGGTGCGGGGGGTTGTTCCAACGCCCACACAGTAAAAACATGCAAATGACGACTTTAGTCATCATTGGCAGTGAATGAGTTAAAAGCTGATTTTCAGTGAATTAAGACATTAAAATCAAGAAAATGTTAATCTGTGAATTCTAGCGACCAATACAAACTAAAGTAAAGAAAGTAAATCAATTCACATCCAGCAGAAACATGTGTTAGTTACTGTTGCAAACAGACAATTTTAATATATGATGTGTTTGCATGAATACTATCGGCAAATATTTGTCAGTAATTAAAAAAAACTTTAGAAATTATTTTTCTGAAAATACAAAAAGCATGCTTAGTCAAACTGGTGAGAACTAAAAAATAAGACCTAGAACCAACAGATTTACTTATTTATGTTCCTTTAATGGTTCATAGTGTCACGACACCAGCAGAATACAAAAGACAGGATGCAATTAATATCCTGCAGAAATCCGTATTTTGTTAGATTAGGTAGCAAATTTAAGATTAATGATCATTTTTAATCACTTTCAACACCTCAGTGCATATGGATGAACACAAAACATGGAAAAACCACAAATGAACTAACTTTATTATGAAACTCCTCAAAGTTTCCTTCTAGCTGATACAAGCAGCAGGTACTTACTTAACACCAGGGATATCCAGCATGTTTGTGAGTCCTGTCCAGTTGATGTCCAGCATCTGGGAGACAAAGAGGAAGAGGGGCTTAAATCAAACATAAATAACTAATGAAGGGACAAAAAGCAGTGCAACACAAACCAAACGAGCCTCATAAATGTAAAGCAAACAAGCGTTACGGACTATGAAGACAGGAAGCCATTCGAGTCATGCAAAGCAACAATTAGAGGTTTCTAATAAAATGTAAGCTAAAGTTAATCTTTCTTTAAAGCAAGTGTGTTATTAAAATGTCAAACTAAGTTCAGCAGACATGAGTTTCTGCTACTTACCTACAGAAAAACTCTTATTTGAGCTAAAATCTGGTAAACGTGAGCTGAACTGAGCCAGACTGCACCATGAGTCAGCAGCTGCAGAGAACCTGAGCTTTTCATCGATCTGATGATCAGTCCTGCAGATTGGGTTAACATCAGTGCAGACAGTAGGCACAGCCCGAAAACAATGAGATTGTGGGAACTAAACGATGAGATTCAGTTAGTTTAAACTCAAATTGTGTAATTATGAGGAGAACTGAGGAATTTTAGCCTAATTATCTTTTATAAAAGAGTCTCGTCTCTTTCTCTGGATTTCCTCTAAACAAAATAGTCGAAGGTTTCAGACCATCCAGTAAAACTCAGAATTTGTGTTGATTTATGAGTTTAATGCACAAAAACCTCAGACGGGCAGCTCCTTTTTGGATTTCCAACTAAATGATTTATCCTAAACCTGACTGGAGAAACTTTTTTGGTCTGTTACCAAAACAAACTAAAAAGCTGCTGTTTTCTGATGAAGTAAAAACCCAATTTCTCCATGAACTCCTGCCATAGAAAGTGAAGCTAAAATATGATTTTTTTAACAGGAAGTTGTATTATTGTAACCCGAGTCCCGCCTACTCCTCTGCACACAATCATGGTGTTTTTAAGCATTAAATAATTACAGTTAATCATATAAAAACTGTAATATTTGAACATGCAGCAGCAAGGTAAGAACAAGTGAACCAACACAGGTTAGAGGTTAGAGGTAGGAGGGTCCCTTCGTTCAGAATCCTTCCCCTTAGGCCACGCCTCCAGAATACAGGACGCAGGACAGAACGGATGTTATTGATACCTTTTCTGCCATTATCCTTACCATAACGCGCCATTATAACCCAATAACTATTTATTATGCTAGCTTATATACTATAGCTAACCCAGCCCTGCTTCACTTCGTGTTCTGCCGAGATTGCAGGATTCCTGAGCACAGAGCGGAGGAAAGGGACAATCAGAGGGCAGTCTGATGGATGGATCAGGACCCAGTCATTAAGAACGAGACATTCATAATGATCAGACGAGGTTTTCCCAGGACTGTACAGTTCAGAGGTGGTTAAAAGTTATTTTCTGACAAAACATTTAATTTATTGTTTCTTACTGATATATGAAGTAAATATTAAATAATACAACAAATGCTGCAGAAAAAACATCTGCAACACCTTCTTCACATAAGTTAAATGATCTGAGGTATAATTTTATACAAATGTCATTTTATTCACATGGGGGGAATAAAGCTCATACTGAATCCAGCCACCAGGGGGCGCTTGTTCTGGTTGCAAGCTTAGCCCACGAGTTTATTAAACCACAATATGATTTTCTGTCCAGATTCAACATTACTAACAGCATTTCAAGGTGGAGGTGTAGTTCCAGCTTGTTCTTGTTGCTTATAAGAAATCAAACCCTGACGCAACAACATGCCCCCACGTCACAAAACAAAGGTGTGTTCAACAGGACGATCATGTTCAAAGGAGGGGAATTAACCTGGTTTTCTAACCCACTTATGGACTCTGCATGCTGGACTTAAAACTGGGTCACCTGAGGAACAACTCAAATCTGGGGACAACCAAAAATATCTACAGATACTTTAAAAACATTCACCCATTTTCTCTCTGCTAACGCTCCACCTTTTTTCCAAGAACTAAGTCCTACTTGGCAAGTTTGTGAAGTCTTGCAAACAACCAAACAACAGCCATCACAACTTTGCCTCAGGTGCCTTGGCTGAAGACCAGCTGAATTACAGCATGCAGCATTTCAGACACACCCTCATATTCACTAAATACCACCACAACAGAACATGGCAGCTTTTACTACGGCTGCAGTTCAACAGTTAAGAGAGGTCATGAAGGAAAACAATCTGTAGAAAACAAATAGGTGTCAAAACATGGAAACTATCATTTACCATTAACCTGCTTCAACATGATGGGTAAATCGTTAAGCTGCAGTGTCGAGAGTTTTGGCTCGTGTTCAGATCAAACTTGTTGGCTCCAGATCTACTGATCTGAAACAGAAACTATGAGAAACGTCTAGCAGAGACTCTAGACCGTCATTTCCTGAAATTAAATAAGTTAGCTTTGCATGTGGATCTAGTAACGCTCCACTAGAACCTCCGCAGCCCCGGCCAGAATGTGGCTGGCCAATCGCAGCCCGTTGAATTAGAAAAAGGGTGTATTTTCATCTTTTTCCACGATGTATGGCGGACTGTGCTGTTGATTGACACCTGCAGCGGTCCAATCACAGCGATCTATTGATTTGGTGGGCCAATCACAGCACTCTGTTGGTGGGCGGGATGACGGCTCATTTGGAACAGCTTTGGCATTGGGCTATTTAGATTTGGGCTTTTGTTTGAGTCAAGAGTAGATGGAGGTTCTTAAGTTTATTTAGTAAAAGGATGTTTTTGCATCTTCTTTGTCAGAGTATGGCGAACTGCACCGCTGACTGACATCTGCAGCGGTGAGTACATCATAATGTTTGTTATCCAATAGCATGCATAGACAGTCTGAAAGTCAACCACAAATCCCGCCCCACGACTGAGTCGTCAATGGACTGTGGCCAGACTATATAATCCCATATACATAGGATGGTTTGTCATGCTATAAAAAGTCAGTAAAAATGTATAATTTGATGTCTGAGCTGAACCAAAAGTCACAATTACGTCATGATCATCACCTAAAATCATGAAAATGGATCAAGACCAAATGAACATGATTCTGGATACAAGTGGCTGAAGAGATCTTCCTCCAATGGGTTTCCCCATGCCTGGGTGAGTTTTCTCTGGGTGCTCCATCCTCCCACAGACCCAAACACGCATGTCAGGTTAAGACTCTAAGGTGAGTGTGTGTGTGTGACTCGTTTGTTTCAGTGATGGATTGGTGACATGTCCACGGTGTCCCCTCCTCCTGCTGGAGACACCAGCTCTCCAAGGCTCCCCAAGTGTACATGACGAGTGCTGAGCGACCAGCACTCTGTCAGTAGGGTTGAATATCACAGATATGTGATATTTGGTAAACAATACCATAAAAACACAGAACAGCTAATCTGCTATGATGGATTTGGTTAATAGTCTTAGAACAAAAATGTACACAGATGCACATCTCATTATCATGCAGCAGTAACTTCAACCAACAGCTTATTTTATCAAACATCAACATGTGGCACCAAATCACTGAACTCTGCCAACAAGAATGATGAAATCTGTGCCCCTGTGTTGTTGGGTCACAGAACGAGGGAATGTTAGGGTGAAAAACGTCAGACAGACTTTAGGAGGAAATCTGGAAAAAATGTGAAATTTCTGCTAAACTGTAAACACTAAACTGAACTGATGTAGAATTTTTCTTCAGGAAGCTGAAAGTTCCCCAACCCACCTAAAGAAATGCAAATCCCAATGAAACTGTTAATAGGAGTTCCTTGTTAAGTGTAACGATGTCAGTTAGGCGTTTCCATGGCAGCACTTCCTCTCCCGGTTCAAAGTCGAGACACATACTAAAACTATTTTAAACAGACAGTTGATTAACAGTTTTCACTTAGTATACATTTTAATGAAGCTTTATTAGAAAGCATTATTTTATTTTTGCCGTTTTGCATAAGTAAACTTTTTTAACTTGTGCAAATATTCACTGAAATGTAATAAAAGTGTGCAGGTGACGGTTGGAGCTTTGAGTTTATTTCATTATAATTTACAGTGAGAAAAGGTGGATTTAGACACACCTTTAGTGGAGCTGAAACAACTCAGCAACAACAAAACAGGAAATTCCTGATTTCAGAATCACTAAGACAATAAACAAAACACACAGTTATGACTCAGCTCAGTGCTGCAGCTGTTTCACAAAACTTTACACACAACAGCACGTGTCGTGTGTGTTTATCGTATGTTAAAACCCTAACCCTAATACTAATGGGACTACACTGGGGGCTCAGAGGTTTGGATCATCAGAAGAAGCTAGCTCCAATCTTTTAAATTTTCATCTTATTTCTGAATAATTTATTGACATATTTTATTTAGAGACCCTTTATGTTCTTATTACTGAACATCTGGAATGTTCTCAGAGCCGACAGGACCAGAAGACCAGTTAAAATGTCCCAAAATGATCCGTCTGGGTGTCATTTTATCACGTAAAACCACATTTTTGAGCCTTAATCAGACATCAGATGAAAGCAAAAGGCCAGACACGCTACGGCGGAGGATAAAAGACCGAGATAAGCTGGCGGATGCCACGTGGCACCAGCGCTCCACTTCCTGGTGAGTGGGTTTGACAGCCGCCATGCTGATCAGCATCCTGTCAAACACGACTGTGGCTCAGACAGAAACAACCAGAGACCCACAAACCATCAACTGTGAGAGGCTCTAGATAAGCACATGTATGGAAAGAGGTGCATTTTTAAATCAACTGGCAATGAAATGGCTTAAAATGTTTTATTTTCTCTATTAAAAATGAATTTCTGGCACATAGAAATGTTTATTATCTGGTGTTGGCTAAGAAACTCCTGATGAAAACTTTTCTGTCTTCATGTTAGAACAAGCTTCAGTTCCCACCGTATCCCGTTTCAGATGATAAACTAAATGTATTGAAGAATAATTTCCTGTTAGTTTTAAATCTGTGATAAGGACCGTTTTCCTCTCCATCAAAGCCTGGATCTGGGAGATGAATCGGGCTGCAGCTCAGGAAGGAAGAGACACAGATAAAGAAAAGATGGATCTCAGCATCATTTAGACAGACTAAAGTACAATTGTTCAGTTCAACATGCACCAGAAGCAGGATCTCCTCACACAGCTTAGACGTGATTCCCTAAAGAGGTAAAACCAGCAGAAACAGCTTCACCGTGAATGAAGCTGGAACTGGAGTCGGCCTGACAGGATTAATCACAGTACTCACAGGTCTCTTCAGGAAAAAGACAGACAGGGCTCCGATTAGAGGCATGTCCCCCAGCAGAGGCTCCATCACCACCCTCAACACACCATGGAGCTGTACACAAAAGAAGCAACATCATGAATAAAACTGCTTTGAGTTTTACCACCTGTCATACTTCTGGAGCAGAACAGAAACATAAAAGCTGCTGCAGTGACTCAAACATTCGACACACAGCCCTCTTGTCTGCATGACCAAATTTGGACATGTTGAGCTCTGAGTGATCAAACAGCAGCTCATCAAAACTCAGTGCAGTGGAACAGATTGAGGATAAGTGTTTGTTTGTGCCCGCATCCTTCCTGCTGCAGCGCTGTCCTGCCTATAAATCACGGCCAGCTGATAATGCCCCATTAGGGCTCCGCCGGGAAGGAGGAGACCTCCATAAATGAAAGACATGATAGCAATAAAAATAATGATTGATGATTGGTGCTCCACATCAACATCTTCAGCATCTGAACTAGTCTCTTCTCTGACAGACTGTAAAGCGTGTACACGCAGCAGCTGTGGAATGAAAGCAGGAGGTAAATATTGATGGAGATTCGTAAAAGCAGCGGCTCCTCTCAGTTCCCCCACCCTGACCCGTGATCTCTGAACAACAAATATGGCCTGATGGTGTGCCAGCAGCTGAGTGGATAACTTCTCCTTTATCAGCTTTGAGCCAACACATTATGTAAAAATGTCTCTGCAGAGGTCAAAGGTTAAAGCAGTGATCAGGGCAGAAGGAAAGTTTTCTGGAGTACGACGGTGGACATAGTCCACCGGTTTGTTACGTACTGTGTTAGAATAAGAACCATTGGGCGTACGATACAATGTACTGCGATAAAAGCCAGACGATATTTCTGTGACTTTATTTAAGTCAGCCCAGACGCTTTGTCTTATCGCGAGATCTCGTTGTCCTTTCAGAACAAAGGTGGTAGGAGCTTCCGCCACCTAGCGATCAGTTGGAATTGCACCCCATGAAAGACATACAGCAAATGTTTGCTAGTAAATTTTAAATAAAAAATCAATACACTGTTTTAAATGTGTATTAGGGCTGCACGATATTAGGAAAACCTGCGATATTCGATAACAGTGCTTAATATTGCGATATCGATATTACTCGCGATAAATGAACAAATACTAAAGTATGCAGTGTTGATGTCGTCTGGTGTGTGACGTCTGCTCTGGGCTCAAAGTAAACAAAAACTAATGCATGAATTCTATTACAACATAACATTTTTATTGCTAAATCATGCAGCTGCACCTGCTACTGTATTAGCAGCAAAACAACAAACTGCATGCATGCAGTTTCTCAGTGACTTTAAAACATCACCTCCACCATAAAACTTTTTCTGATGCTCCAAATACAGAAAAACATCCCTTACCAGGGTTTTTTTTGAATAAATAAAAAAATCTGAAAACAAGTTTAAAAGTTAAATAATAGTTAACATCACTTAAATGCAACAGCACATTCTCTCATTGCTACTGAACATTTTCTCCACTTATGTGGTTATGATATAAGGCTGTTGGTGCTATTGGGAAGTGAACTGTGCCGGGCCAAACTAGGAGAATATTAAGATTTTCTGAGGGAAAGAGAAAAACAATTGTCTACCTTTCAGAAGAGGAACTGGCAAAAAACTACATGGAAAATATGTGAAAACGTTTGTTTTAACCCCAAATTGAACAAGTTTACCTAGATCTTAAAAGGCAGCTCAGATGATGAAACTGCAACTATGATTCTGATAACAAGCTAACAAATTGAACTAGCTCCTCTAAGATAACCGGCTAGCAGTGCTTCTGACTGACAGTTTATGTGCAGCAGCAAATCAACTATCCTGATTAACAAGGTTATAAAAGCTCATAAATGAAAAATCACTTTGATGTGTGGGGGGACTTTTCCAGGCCCTCTTTAGCAGGGTGGGACTGGGAGGAGAGTGCTGTAGCCTTTTAGCTGGAAGCTAACCGGAGCCTGGGGCTAACATCACCACCCGGTGGAACACTAGCGACATGAAGGTGGGTTGGTTAACCGGCACGTGTCGGAGTCAGCCCGGTTATTATCAGCTTAACGACACCGAGCGGACTCACGTTCACGTTTGAAAGCAGTGCTGATTCCAGAAACCTCAGCACAAAGTGCGTTCGTTAATCTGAGCCAGCATGACGAACAAGGGAACGGCGCCGCTAACTCAGTTCGGGTGTTACTTTCCATCCTAAGGGTCTTACCTACGTAGGGGGTGGGCGTATTACGTGAACGGACCCATCTGATTGGCCGCATATCAGAAGGACTACATTTGATTGGTCAAATAATACTTCCGCGTAAAAAACAGAGCTGGTTTACAAAAAGTTGATGTATGACACGGATGGAAATGTTTGAACCAAACATTTATCACCGTTTTTGACGTGCTTTGCGATGGGCCTATCGCACGTCCGGTTATCGCGATGACGATAATTTTCCGATATATTGTGCAGCCCTAATGTGTATTTATTTGGCAGACGCTTTTATTCAAAGCAAAGTACAATTTTCAACCTATAGGGCATGTTGTGATCTGTGGAGTACCCGGAGGAAACCCACGCATGCATGGGGAGAACACGCAACTCCACGCACAAAGGTCGCAGCCAAGTGTTGAACCTGCAGCCTTCTTACTGCGAGGCAACAGTGCTAACAACAGCGCCATCATGCAGCCCGTGGATAAATGATCATCCCTAGTGTGCAGCTGTATATACATATGAGTTCTCTTTTTGAGTGATAAATCATTTACTGGCACGTCTCTGGTCAGTTATCTTTTCCTCCTAATAACCTTTTTTAAAAATCGTACAAAAACAGAAGGAAAAAGAACTCTCAATCAATTCTAGCCTCTAAAACAGGGAGGGATCTGCAATCAGTGGCTCTGGAACCACATCTGGCCCTTCAGCCTCCCTGATGTGGCTCCAAGAATGACAGGAACTGATGTTTACATTTAAAGAGCAAGTCACCCCTACCAGAGTCTCAACTAACTCAATTCCCACTTCCTGTTTGAAAAATGCAACAAATACTGTTACCTAGCAGACCGAGAGGATGGAGCCGCTAACAAATACACACACTCACGACATTGTGACATCACAATATACCATCTAACATCATAGCATGCCTCTTAGCCAATAGCGACGGCAGATTTAAATTCAAATGCAGTGCTGAGTTTTTACCTGACGACGGTGCATCACTGACAGTTTTAGGCAGATTATTTAAATTTTAACTAAGATGCACTAAAGTGCCGAATTATTGACTACACGTGTCTGCAGCACGATCAGACACTCATTTATATAATTTATCAGCAAAAAATGTTGATTTGGAGTGGATGATTGTGCATCACTGACAGTTTTAGGCAGAATATTTAAAGAGCAAGTCACCCCTACCAGAGTATTACTCCACTCCCACTTCCTGTTTGAAAAATGCAACAAATGCTGTTGCCTAGCAGACCGAGAGGGCGGAGCCGCTAACAAATACACACACACACAGGCTCACAACAACATTGTGACATCATATCATACCAGCTAACATTCTAGGGTTAGCCAATAGCAATGGCAGATTTAAATTCAAATGCAGTGCAGTTTTTACCCGACAACGGCACAACACTGACAGTTTTAGGCAGAAAATTAAAACTAAAATGCACTAAAATCCAAAACTACTAACTACACGTGTCTGCAGCACGATCGGACACTCATTTATAGTTTATCAGCAAAAAAATGTTGATCTGGAGTGACTTGCTCTTTAAATAGACAATGGAATCTGGACTTTTAGCAGATTTGCTGTTCACATTTTTTACTAACTAAAGATAAATAAAAATACAAGAAGTTGGACTTTTTCACTCCTTTCACACAAAGTCAGTCATTTCTTTTAAATGGTAAATAGCCTGTATTTGTACAGTGCATTCTTAGATCCTGCAAACCCCAAAGCACTTCATAACACAATCAGTCATCCACCCATTCACACACTGGTGATGATGAATCTGGGATTTGAATTAGGCTTATAAAACAAAGCAAGCATGTATTTTCACCAACACACCTGGATGCTTTTGATTCCTGCCGTGCAGTAGTACTTCTTGATGTTCACGTCGATTTCTGTGTTTCCTACAAAGCTAAGACCAGGAAGGAGGAAAAAACAGGTGAAGAGTCATTTCTGCAGGAGCATTTATGCATTTTTACAAAAACATGCAAAATGAAAACAACTGCTAGTCAATAAAGGTTTGAACGGTAAATGGCCTGTATTTGATAAAGCGCCTTCTAGAGTCCTGGAACCCCCCAAGGCGCTTTACAACACAATCAAAACAAACAAAACCACTGTTTGTTGTGGTGAGTTAATCCTTCAGACCAGATGTGACACAGATTTTACTTTCATAAATAAAGAGCACGTCTATATAAGCCACTAAATAACAAAACATTCCACTGACTGTTGGGAGAAACTAAAGGAGCTAATTTTACACATAATGGAAAATGTATATTTGAAAAGATCTAAATCCATAAACTCCTCCTTTAGCTTGTGGAGCTTTACCTGATCTGCAGGTCCATGATGACCTGCCTCTTGTCTATATTTTCTGTGTAAACTTTCACTCCGTTCACTCTCAGCGGCTGCAGACACAAACACATCGAGAAGAAAGAAGCAAACTTTTACTTAAACTGAGCCAGAAGCTTTAACATTTCATTTTAAACTCGTTTACTCTGGGAGTCCTAAAGGGTCAGTGCGAGAAAAATCCAAGATCCAAAAGATTTGACTGAATCTTTGTTTTAACCCTCCCACTGTCCTAATGAGTGTGGCAGGGGTGAGGAGTGAGCACCACCTCACCCCTGCCACGTGGACCTCAAGGGATAAACCATCAATTAGGGCTGCTCAATTAATCGAATTTTAATCACGATTACGATCTGAGTTTTGAACGATTATAAAAAACAAAACAAGCCGATTATTTGCTCCTCCCGCTTGCGCTGCCCTGAGTAGCAAATGAAGCGCTCCTTCTTGTGTTGCCAACTTAGCGACTTTGACGCCATTTCTAGCAGCTTCTCAGACCCCCTTCTTGACTTTTTAAATCTTAAAAGTACCTAGTGAACACCTCAGAAACATCTCTGGTAACCCTTAGCTACTTTCTGGATAACTGTCGTCAACATTTCCTGCAGGTTAGCTAAACACTCCGCCTGCGCTCCGGACCGTTCTTCAGGACATTAGGAAAGGGAATGATGTAGTGACGTGTCGGTCGCTAAAGAAACGGCTCTCGGAGCCGGCTCCCTGTTGGAGTAACCAGAGTGAGTGACACACACACCGCACCTGCGGACTCCAGAGCCGCTAAAAACGGCTAAATGTGCGCGTGCGGTGTGCTAAACACACGTGCAGCTTGCCCCGTTTGCTGTGAGAGCAGGTGGGGGGGTGGGGGGTGCAGCTGTGGTTGGGACAATTATTACATTAACTGATGGACTTGTAAATAAATAGTTTATAAATAAGGTAGAAATAACTTCCTCATGCTGATAAATAATAACTAATCTCTCTGAGGACACGGTGCTAGTGCACTCTCATACAGCACCTTGACACGACTCAATAAATGTTATGCAACATTTTGTGAACATCAATTTATTTGCATTTATTTGTTATAAATGTCACTGCATAATTCTTGCTGTCAGTATTTGCAAGATGTTGGTATTTGGGTCTGTACTGGTTAGACTTAAATGAGTTAAACCAAGGTCTATAGCCCTTGGGTCATAGACTATGAGCTAAAAGTATATCGGTCTTTTTATACTGGGAATCAGGAGTTATTTTAGTGATCATCTTGTTTCTTATTTATTTTTGTCCTGATTGTGCCCTGAGCAATTTTATGACTGAATAAAAACAAATAAAATCAACATAAATAGAAAAATCGTCCTAAATAATCGTGATCTCAATTTCAGTCACCATAATCGTGATTATTATTTTTGCCATAATCGAGCAGCCCTACCATCAATCCTGCTCAATGGTCAACTTTCCTCACAAGGTCACCCATAAAGACAGTGGGAGGGTCAAACTAATCAAACGAAACCATCCTATTACCTCCACTTACAAATGTCCGTTACACTCCTCACCACCTAAATCACTGTTTCACTCACCTACTCTCGAGTCTGAGCAGACATCCAGGATTTTAAATTAAATATTAGAAGATCTGATCCCAGGTCAAATTTAAACTTTTTTGTAAGACCACTGATGAGGCCAACAGCCTTTAATTTAAGGTGGTATCACTTGTTCCAAAGACAAATGACTGTTGCTGGTGATGAAGAGGCAGAGCAGCAAAAGCTAAATGGACTGATGGATTCGCTCTAATGCAGCATGTGAAGGAAAGCGAGCAGAGGCCCAGCATCACCTTGTCGCCCATGTCGATCTTGGTGAAGCTGAAGGTGCTGAGGTGGGCGTTGGCCCCCTGCACCGCCGGCTCAATGGTCTCTCTGAACAACTTGTCCACAAACTGGCAGATGAACGGCCACATCTGCTTCACGGTCTGATGGAGGACGGGGAGAGAAGAGAGAGAGGGTGAATATTTCACTTTTAGGTAGATGGGTGAGTTTTCCTCAACAGCTTGTGTTTATAATTGACACAGCAGCAGGTTTTATAAAACATACAAATATGGTTTCTGCACCATTGGTCCTTAACTCGTTCACTGCCAATGATGACTAAAGTCGTCATTTGTATTTTCTTACCGTTTGGGCATCGGAACGAGCCCCCGCGCTGAGAGAACAAACATCTCAGCTCTAAAGTCGATCTTCATACACGTACGTCACACGTCACATGATCAGGAAGCAGAAAATCCATGTGTTAGGAGATTGTTTTGGGCCATTCCTGAAAAAAAAGTGAGGCGCGAACCGGAAAAGCGTCTGCCGATCACAATTCAACAACGGATTATGAAAGAACGGACACTGCTCGAAACACACGGATTCTTCCTGATGTAAGAGGTGAGTTGTTGGGTAATTTTATCAATCCAGGATTACCCCAGAGAGAGTTCAAAGCACAGGGGGTTATGGTAATTAATTTATCAAAACCAATACCAATAATCAACAATCAATTTAGACTTTGCAAAGTGGAGAGGAAATGGGATACACACCACACAACGGTCGCCAGTTTCACTCTCATCAGACAGAGTCCTCCGAAAGTATTATTCAGCAGACACACAAAAAGATTACGCACATACATTTACACACACACACATTCGAGGTTCTCAGGCAAGAAGCCATAAAAAGGCAGACTAAGCTCCAGGTGCATTTCTAAATCAACCAAAGCAGTCTGGACTCCACTTTGTTTTGGTTGTTTTGGCGTCGACATCATCCTAGCGCGCAACGTTCTGTGACTCTTAAAAAAACTATAAAAACGGTGAGAAACGCTGGCAGCTAAGGGCTTTAACGATCAGGAAACGGCTGGCAGTGAATGAGTTAAAAGGATGATTCATAGGATACGCATTAGCCTTCTGACTGGCCTCAGTCTGGGGAAACAGTGTTCACGTCCTTCAGGACTGGTGAGCTAATGGTTTGTCTAAGTGTCTGCCGTCTTAAATCAGCTCCAGTCACTTCTTCATTCATGGGTGTGTTTAAATATCAGCAGCTGAAGCAGGTTTTAGCTCTTCCAGGGGTCAAGTCGAGCAGGACTTCAATATTTCTGCCAGAAAAATCTCATAATGTGGAACTGATGGCTCATGAAGAGTAATCAGATATAAGGCTGATTCTGATGATGAAACCAGCTCATCCACACTTCTAACGGCAGCAAAATCATTTAAACTGCTGAAGCATTTAAATAATAACTAACCTGAGATTATTTATAGCAGCATAGTAATTACTAATATAAAGAACTGAAAAACAAAATATAAAATAAAAATTTTCCTCATATTTTTGGGGATATCTATAAAACATTTTTTCCTAAAATTACATTTGTTTTTGCTTGTATAAAATCTAATAAATTAACAATAAAATGTGTCCAAAGTTAGCTTTAGCTAATGCTCCAGGCTTGATGGGTTTAGTTTCATTCCTGCTTTTAATCTGGGCTTTACTGTGTAAAACACACACACACACACACACACACACACACACACACACACACGCGCACACACACACACACACACACGCGCACGCACGCACACACACACACACACACACACACCCTAAAACTCGAAATGTCACTCGCTTCATCCCCGAACAGACATAAAGTTGTGCTGTCCTCAGACAACCCATCAGCACTCAACAGGTAAATTATGGTCACTCGGTTTTTTAAAGGAGCATCAGCGTGGGCCTTGAAACTCAGAGTACACCATTCATAATTTAAAACACTACGGCTGTAAACATTGATTTGCATGTGTAGGTAGTGAGAAGCTGTTCTTTTTGGCTCACATTCATCCATTAATGTTATACTGGAAGTACCAGAGAACTTTTACCGTTAAGTGATGCTCTTCCTGAAGCTATCTCACTACACCCACACCTGTCTCGCCACACTGGGACAGGGTCTCCCCGAGCTCCAGATTCAGCTCCTATTTATAAAACCTACCTGCCTGCTTCCGAACGGGCTTCTGTGGATGACGAGGAGCAGTGGGCGAGTTTTTCTGTAAGCAGGTCAGGTGTGTGTGTGTGTGTGTGTGTGTGTGTGTGTGTATGTGTGTGTGTGTGTGTGTGTGTGTGTGTGTGTGCGTGTGCGTGTGTGTGTACCTTATTGAGCCACTCCACTCTCTCCACATCTGGATAATGGACCTGCAATACAACACAAAACCATTCTGGGTTTGAGAGCTGTACTGGTTTCTGGTTTCTGCACAGTTCTGACCTGCTGATCCTGATTTACTTCAAAAACTGTAATTAACAAACACTTTCTTAAAATTTCCGATCAAGTGGAACTGAGTGATTCTGGAAGTAAGAACCACCACATCACCGTTCTGTTATCGCTCGCCAGAATTCTTCTGAGTAGTTTTGGGTAAATGATGCATTCAAGGACTAAATAATAACAGTATTTTTTTACATTTGAACTGATCCTGCTGGATATTGGGCCATTCTGATCCCCAGATGATTTCAGAGCATCATTCAACTCTGGGATTATCTGCCTTTTAATCTTTTACAGGGTTGAACTTCGAGCTTCTTCGCTGCTGCCTGAAAAGCCAAAACCCAACGATACTCCAGTAACAGTTTTCAGAGTCTTCTTTGGCACGCTTACCTTTAAATAAAGCATAATATCAATAATATTTATTCATAAAGCACATTTTAAAGTAGGACCAAAGTGCTGTGAAAAAAATCATCACTAAAACGATTAAAACAAATGTAAATTAGGAACTAAATAAGTGTTCAGTTTAAAACAATACCAGAATAAAATTCACACAATTACATCAGGATGTAAACAAAATCTCCACAAGATAAAAGCCAAAAACAAAAACAAACACGTTTTCTCCCGGTATTAAAGGTATACACCACCCAAAGTGAAATTTTGTCTATTTCCACATTCACCAGAGACGGTTACAGTGGTGATTTGTCGTAACGTAGTCCCAAGTCTAAGGCGGTTCCTGGAAATGCTTCGTGTTACGTCTCACTTTTCATGTGCAGTGGGCATGACTCACCAGGAATAATTGGTATCATTGCTGAGAAATTTAAATCACTTTGCACACAAAATGCTAGTTCCTGCTACTCATGTCCATTGTTTATGCTAAGCTAAAGCAGATGGGCTGCTGCCAGACCAGGAGAATTACTGCGCTGGTTACAAAATGTTTTTTTCTTACTTATCTAACTCCGGGAATACGGAAATAAATTACATTTCACTTAAAGCTGGAATATCCTTTAAATGAAATAGCAGAGTAACTAGACGTGTTGTTCTTTTATATTCTCTGATGTAAAACTCTGATAAATTACCCTGATGAAGGGAAAAAGCAGAAATTGATGTTTCTTCTCCTGGGAACTTGTTAATTTCATATTTTAATTTTTCCAAGAAAATGAATCATAGTAAATTGAATTAGAAAATGTTATTACTTTTAGTCTGATGAGGTCAAATTCTGTTCTTGTGAATATCTCAGAAACCAGGAGCTCAAATTGAGTCCAATGTGTACCAACGTCACCACGGTGTGTTTGTACAACTAATGTTAAATAAAAACATCAAAGAGGGAAAATAAAGAAATGGTGGAAAGATGTTTTAATTTGGATTGTTTTCATCTTGGATGGAAGCAGAAATGTGATGAAAGTATTGTATGAATGGATTAAAACATCCAATCAGACTGGACCTGGATGCTAGAGATGAATCAACACTTGTTATGGCCGTTAAAGCTTTCATAGCATTCTTATTTCTCTACACGTGTGACAGAGACTACACCAACTCCTCTGTCTCTGCTCCAGTTAAACACTCCCACAATCCATTGCTGCATCACTATCACATGACCAACCAAACATCACATGTATAGCACTTTGGGCCACCATGACTGGCGGTGTAAAGCTGCTCTACAAATAAATAAACGATGATAATGATGATGATGATGATGGATATAGAACCAGAACACAAAATAATGCCATATCTGTGTATCAATATTTTCTACTTATAACCCCCGTTAAAAATATGACACCACTCTCAGAGATGAGACCATGTACCAGAAATTTAAATGTTACTTTTTCTAAAAGCAGTTACTTTTGAATTTAGCTCTTAATCCATTTAATGCTAAAGTAAGTCAGAATAATAATCTGCAGAGCCGTTTCAGCACAGAGAAGAACCTCGTAAACCCGTGGATGTGCTGCATAAACAAGCCCTCTTGGATCACATTTCGTCTGCCTGCAGCTAGACAACACCCACGGCAGCACAGAGCTCCACATGTCCTGATATGCAGAACTGTTTTACATCTTCTTAACTCCTGGAACACCTCAAAAGGAGAACAGACCTAAAGAAAGACATTGACGGGGCCTTTAACAGACAGATGAAGGGAGACTTGTTCTGATCCGAGACCCGTAATAGCTGGAGCATCGCAGTTTGTTCTTCTGATGGTGAAACTCACACCTCTCTCCAGCCCCAACCAACACAAACTGTCCGAAAAAAGTGAAAATCAGCTCATCCTTCTTGTTATCAGCTTAAAACGCCTTTCAGCAAAACATCAACAGATTCCAGCGTGATGATGACAGCGACTCGACACATGACAACAAAAACATTTTTGCTTCAAGCTTCAGAAAAGGCTCAAATGTGCAAAAGAACAGAAAAGCTAAACAAAGAGCTGCAGCTTCAAGCAGGTTTAGCCTGAGGAAATGTCCTTTTTGGTCCTGTTCTCCTCTAATGCTTTAAGATGTTTGTTTAAAACAAAGCTCGTATTAATCCTAAACAGCTGCATATCAGAGGACATGTTCCACTTTTGAAAATAAATCTTTAAAATAAAAAACAACCTGATATCCTCAAATCTCAAAAATACCAAGGAACCACAGAGATTTGGTTTTTATTTTGATGTAAATCGACGGAGATGAAAGATTTTTTCATGATGGGATTTTATTCCATATCGTTCAATCCTACGTACATCCACAGAACAACAGGGGGTTCTGGAAACTCACTCTGACATCCACGCTGCCTTTCCCACACAACACAGCAACCCTCGTCCTTTTCTCAGCAAACCTGCATGTGACAGAAGATTTTCATCAGAGCCTAGACTTAGTTTGAATGGATTTAAATGGAAGCCACCTCCCAGTAAAGCTCATCAGCCCTCCAGGACAAACAGCTACAGGACTCCAGCGTGAACACACAAAAGGACATCTGTCTGACGAGGACGGAGCTACTAACGAGGGTTAAACAGACGTGTCAAAACCCAAACTAAATAGGATGAAATCATGTTTCACAAATAAAAACAGCCTCAGCTCTTGTGTAAAGCTGTTTGTTCCTCCCTCCCCTGCAGCAGAACACAACATGAAGGGAAGAGGGGTGAAAACTGCCTGCTGCTGGAACGGCTGAACACAGCCAGCTTGTTTCCTTTGAGGCTGTTTCAGTAAGAAAACTATGATGGAAAAACAGCCTCGTTGAGTTTAACCTAAACTTTTCCACCAACTCACTTCAGACCTAAAACAACCCCGTCTAACCAAACTCCTCCAACTCCACATGCCAGACCTCAACAGCAGTTTACAGAAACAATCAAACCATTCAGATCCCAAACTCTGACATGAATCCATTTCAGTTTTCATTAGTCAAAACTGTGTTACTAAAACCTTCTTCAGTAGAAAAGAACAAATATACAAGGATGTAAGTGAAGATTATGCAGGTGGAATAAAAAGGACTTCTCTTCTGGCACTCGCAGAGTACAGACGCTTCCCTTTTTGCTCCCTTATCTTTTTTTCCCAAGGCTCTTTGTCCTGTCTGCCCACAGAGCGCTTCTCTGCACTTCTCCTGAAAATCCCCCCTTTTTTTTTTTTTTAGAAATGAATTTAATTAATTGGTCATTCTACGCAATTGATAAGATTTTTTCAACGATGAGAACGGAGCAGGGGGCTCCTACTTGCCCGCAAGAGACACACCCATTGGGGTATATGCTCGATTCCTGGAAAGAATGGAGGATCGTATGCCTCTCCCAGTTGTCCATTGAGGACATCGAATATGTGTGGATATTTGGCCTGATGATCACTGGATTTCTTCTGATTGGAGTGGGAGGATATCTGGTTTTCTGGAAATTTGGGAAGACGGGAGCGATTGGAGGGCGACCCGCACCCACGGAAAGCACCGTTCGTGTAGAGACCTCACAGACTGGGACGACTCGAGGTGAATCGTAAGCTGGACAGTGTTCTAGCTGCGCTACCGGTATTAGTGCGTAAAATGGAGGTCATCTTGGAGAGGGTCACCGGACGTTGTGCAGATGTTTAAAACCTGAATTGGCTTCACTGGAGGACTTGAATGATCAGTTACAGACTTGAAGGCAGAGAGAAAAATTATCTCTGCCTGACCCAAACAAAGTCTTGTTATCCGAATCTGACGGCATGGCAGCCTTGTGAATGCCAACAACAAAACCCCCACCAAGGAATGCAGACAGATGCTGTGAAAACCCGACCTACCCCTCACCCCCCACCCCCACCCCCTGCCTTCGGATTGGTGGACTTCAGCCTGGCGAGGTCATCATACTGCAGGTGTCAATGTGCTCTGGATGAGCGCCGTACAGGGCTGCTCTCGCTGGGGAAACAGGATCTCAGACACCCCCCCCCCCCCCCATGCAGGTATCGCGTCGATGATATATTTGCGATATATTGTGCAGCCCTAGGCAAGACAATTAACCCGCCTTGCCCGCTGGTGGTGGTCGGACGAACCAGTGATGCCAGTGCTTGGAAGCCTTGCCTCTGTCAGTACGACCCAGGGCAGCTGTGGCTACACCATAGCTCATCACCACCAGTGTGTGTGTGTGTGTGTGTGTGTGTGTGTGTGTGTGTGTGTGTGTGTGTGTGTGTGTGTGTGTGTGTGTGTGTGTGTGTGTGTGTGTGTGTGTGTGTGTGTGTGTGTGTGTGTGTGTGTGAATGGGTAAATGATACACTGTAGTGTAAAGCACTTTGGAGTCCTCTGACTCTGAAAGGCGCTACACAAGTGCGGTGGTTTAGCATTTATCATTTGTAAAGCTGATTTAAAGTCAGACGCATTCCTGGGAAGCCCGTGCTGCTGCAGAATTTAATTTAAATGAATTTATGTTCCTGAATAACATCATAAAATAAATGCTCACAAATATTTTCAACAAATTTTGTTTTACCAGTTTTTAATCATTAATAATTGGTCAGTTGAT